TTGATACGTATTTTATTCAAAACAACACAATTAAAATGAAGCCTAACGAAGTGGTACAACTGAAGTGAAATGTCTAGCGACTCAATACTATTTATAGTTTAAAAAATTATTATGCCTTATACATTCGTTAATTGTTTAATACTCCATATTTATTAGCTTTAATAAATTAGTTCCTTAAAGCTAGTCATAATCCTTTTCGATATTATTATTGTATTACTATTGTATTACTCTTGTGTTCCACCCATACCAAGACTCTGTTGGGATATTGAACCGAAGGTCCAATACCCGAGCCAAAGGCCCAAAATATCCAGTCCAATAAATAGCCCGGAATCTAGACGAAGAACAGGCCCAGTGAGATATATGCCTCGAACGGGGATCGGGTCATCCAGGGTACTTAGGCCATATCAATGGTGCTTTCAGCATGGTCCATCACCCTATTCGGGCAACGGATAGCTGGCAAGTGGCAAGGAGCAATAAATGCTAGAGTATGGCATCAAGCAGTGGAAGCATGGGCATTCAAGTGGCTGAATTAACGACCAATCAGCATGGAGCACCCCATCCCCCCCCCCCCCCCCCCCATTAATATAAATAGAGGGATTAATCTCATTGTAAAGGGTTAACATTTTGATACTCAAGGCCTAGAATAGCTTTCTCATTCTTGTTGTATTAATCACTATTCCGACGTACCGTTCGAGAAGTTTCTTGTGTAATCAATGAACTACTTAATACAATTGAGCTTTTGAGCATATTATTATTCAGCTTTTATATTTTCTTATATTCACGATTTATTATCCACATCCTGAAAGATCCAAAGCGTGTGATGGACTTTCGGATATGTGGGACTTAACCCCAACAGACTCTAAAACAAAAGAATATTACAGCGGCTCACCAAATTAACGATCACAATAATATCAATTATTCTCTACTAATACTTCTCTACTTCTACTCAAATAGATTATGTCATTTTTATTACTTATTGTACCTATTAGTTCAAATTCTTATATATGAAAAAATTAGTTTGTACATTTTAAACTGTTGAAGAATGCGATGTTAAATTACTCTTTATTTTTATCATTAAATTAATATATAAGACACATATTATATGTCGTATTTTTAAATTATGAAACGTTTAAAACACGTTCGTATCTTTATTTGTTTCATGAACGTATGAAACATATATTTAGCCGTATTTTATAAAAGTGTATCATATTATACACGAATGTACGTATTATTGTATTATTCATGAACCTTATAAAACATCAATCCATTGACTTTTGTCATGTGTGACCAATAAGTGAAATAAAAAAGAAAAAAATTAATTGAAATATATGTTGAAAATCACAAAGTAAATGGAAACTGATAATTAGTTGTATTTTTGAGATAATTGGAAAAAAATGATTAAGTTGATGTGGAACGTGGAGTATAATACGTAGCAACAAATTAAGATGTTTTTACTTGGACCGGAATTTTCTGACCTGGTCTGATCTGATCTGATCTTATGTGGTCTGAACTAGTCTGGTCCATTAAACGTCTGGTCTCGATGTATTTTATAATTGTCCAAATCTGATCGGATGTATTTTATAACGTCTGGTCATCCTTAATGACACGGCCGAAGGAATTCCTTAGCTTTGATTCACTTGAAGTCTGATGAAACGAGCTGAAACATTTGACAAAGCCATGAGAATACTAGCCACCAAACCGTCCAGGTTCATTGATTGATAAAGAAATTGATAACAGACAATTTATGTATGAATGTATGATAATTGACAACGCCATGAGAATTACAGGTGCCAGCTTGCCAGAGTGATACATTACTTGAGAATGGGAACAATTGAACAAAATGCCGTGAAGGCTAATTTTACCTCCTTCCCCTTAAAATGTGGACATAAAGAATCCCTGTTTAAATTATATATTTGATACTCCGTATTAAATTGATAGAAATGAACAAAATAAATTAAATATCAATAAAAAGCATAAAAAATACAATAATAATTGATGAAGTATAACATACCGTGAAGTGCTTAAAGTTTCAATAAAAGTAATTTCATTCTGTATCCCTCATAATCCAATCAAATTGATTACTATTTGTATTCATCAAGTAAATTATTTGCTACATCCGAATACTTTTAATTTTTTATTTCCCATTTATGTATCAAGTTGGTTTAATAACACCAGAATTTATCAATCGATCTGCTCAATGCGTTATTAATTATTAAAAATCTGTTGGACAATAACATTATATTCAAAATATGTTAATTAGATTAGTTAATAAAATGAAGAAAAAATTTATTAAGAGAGTTACAATCGTTTTCTCTAATCCGACTAACCATTTTAAGCTGGTTTATTTTTTTATCACATAGTTTAGCGCATCAAATTAAAAACTTATACAGAATATCTAATATTCTACTATAACATTCAAATAAAGAATCCTAGTATAAATATATATTCACCACTAGAAAAGTTCTTGTTTATTGTGGCTTTCAGGAGCAGCTAATACGTGCGGAGTATTTAGTCCACGGTGGGTGAATCAGGGCCTAAGATCGTTGTCATGATTCATGAAGAAGCATTGTAATATCAAATAAAATTTAATAGTTTGGCCAAACTATGATATCATATTATGATTTAAAGAATGGGGTTTTCATAATTTGCACAAAAATGGGGAAAGATTGATTCATATTTTCCAGAGTTTTCGCGCAACATAATATACAAAGAAATCAAATACTGCTAGCAGCTCGAAACCACAGATTCTGGAGGGTAACCCCAATATTAGTTGGTTCAACCGTTCAACTTAAGTTCACATTTCTCAAACCAATCAGTCCATCAAAATATGGCACAGCAATTGGATTTTATCCTTGTTGTAATAGCTTTGTTAGACAAGGTGAAGTAGTCCACAATGTTTATAATTCATTAAGTGGGCCCTTTGGCTTTTAGTTTTTAGTTCAATCCCACTTCCTGGTACAATGTTTATAAAGTGTCTCCATGAGAACAAAAGAACCATTTTAAGAGGTGGTGAAATATGGGGTTAACATAGTTTTAGTTAAATTTAAATGCTACGACATTTAACTGGCAAAAATTACTATATTTTGTAGCTTACATTTTATATGACAAGAAGAAATAATCACTCCCTTGTATAATATAGTAAGATGGGAAGGGGTGAAGAGGTTGAGAAGAACACGAAAATCTCAGCTCATTCGGAAGGTTGATGCCTGCATTCAACATCATGCCTCCAGGCCGGGCCGGGCTCTGGGCCGGTTCAAACCGGACTTTTGTATTGGGGGTTAAGGCCCGGAACCGGCCCGAGATTCTACCAGAACCGGGTTGGGTAGCGGTTTTTTTTTGCCTTTCTAATTAATTCCTACCCCCACCCCCACCCCCACACCCCAAACCCCTCCAAAACCTCAGGTCGGGTCCTAGGCGAATGCCTGTTCTCGGGCAACCACGCCAGGCCGGGCCCACACAGTGACAGGCCGGGCCAGTCCTATTCTCAGGCCAGGCAGATCGGAACCGGTCCTTCCTTACGACTCACAAATAGTGAGTATTACTACGTACAGATTATTTGTTGTGGTTGTACATAACAGAAGCTAAAAACTTGTTATTAAAAAAATTTGTAGTTATAGAACAACCGCATGATCCGCATAACAAAAGTATTTATTTTTTCAAGGTAATAAGCTTTTTGCTGCAATTATAGAAAACAATCACAGCAAAGAATATATACATTTTTATTAAACGCTACCACATTGTTCTTTGTTAATCCGTCTCCGATGAGATTCGAACACATGACCCTAAAGGCTCAAAACCCAAGCCGAGAAGCGCACGATACTCACACACAAATGATGGTTATCAAAATTGAAAAATGACTATTGAATTGTTTTCCAAACACATACAAAAAAGGCTCATTTTTACAGACAAACATTGGTGAGAATTCAATGCACCAAACACCTAAGTGTTCCTCTAGGAGTGGACTCAGGCCGGGCCAACCAGCCCGGAACCGGACCAGCCCGCTACTGTGCGGGTCCGGACCGGCCCAGTGAACCGGTTAGTGCCCGGTTCGGGCCACCCAGCCCGGTTAGGTAGGTGGTTCGGGGCATCCTAAATCGTGAACCGGCCCGGCCAGTTCGGGCCCAGTTCGGGCCCAGTCTGGGCCAATTTATTTGTTTTTTCTTTTTTTTTTTTTGAGTTTTTTTTAAGTTTTTGGGTTGGCCTGGGTATGATGGGTCATTTGAGGTGGTTTGGGGTGGTTTGGGGTGAGGGGGGAGGGTTGGGGGTTAATTAGGAAAAGCCAAAAAAAATACAAGAACCAAGGCCCGGCCCGGCCCAAACCGGACCCGGGGTTACCCGGGCCGGTTCCGGGCCTCCCCTTTCATGAACCGAGGCCCAAACCGGGCCCGAACCGGAACCGGTCCACCCCTATGTTCCTCCGCAGGGTTCGTCCACGGTGGGTGAGTCACAGGGCCTAAGATCATTGTCATGATTCATGAAGAGGCCATGTCCATGGCTCGGACCAGGGCAGAACATTGTAATACCAAATAAAATTTAATAGTTGGGCCAAACTATGATACCATATTATGATTTAAAGAAGAATGGGGTTTTCATAATTTGTACCAAAATGGGGTAAGAATGTAAGATTGATTCATATTTTCCAGAGTTTTCGGGCAACACAATATACCAAGATATCAAATACTGCTAGCAGCTCGAAACCACAGATTATGTAAGGTAACCCCAATGTTAGTTGGTTCAACCGTTCAACTTAAGTTCACATTTCTCAAACCAATCATCCATCAAAATATGGCACAGCAATTGGATTTTATCCTTGTTGTAATAGCTTTGTTAGACAGGGTGAAGTAGTCCACAATGTTTATAATTCATTAAGTGGGCCCTTTCTCTTTTATTTAGTTCAATCCCACTTCCTAGCACCTTTTAAAGTGCTAGCACCTTTTAAAGTGTCTCCATGAGAACAAAAGAATCATTTTAAGAGGTGGTGAAATATGAGGTTAGCATAGTTTTAGTTAAATTTAAATGCTACGACATTTCACTGGCAAAAAATACTATATTTGGTAGCTTACATTTTATGAACTAAAGGGGCGCTCAGTAACCAAATTACTAAATCTGGAATAAAGTCAATTCTAAATCAACGTCATGATAACTTTGTGCACCTCCATAATGCAGAGAAGACGTATCATGACAAGAAGAAATAATCACTCCCTTGTACAATAAGATGGGAAGGGGTGAAGAGGTTGAGAAGAACAGGAAAATTTCAGCTCATTCTGAAGGTCGATACCTGCCTCGAGCATCATGCAACTGCCGCAAATGACGTCTTTTAATCCCTTCACGAAACATATCACTTGCGGAACCTTTAACTTCAATAAGGGGAAAAGTTTGATCTGAGTTTGTCTCAACTGGTTTAATCTTCAAGTATTGTGCTGTCTTTGCCTGAACTGATAAACCCACCAAATTGGCCAATAGTATGAAAATCAAGATGGTGGTGTAAGATGTAAGAAACTAAGAAAGTATGGTAATTATAAAAAGAATTATTCAGTTCGTAACCATGACAGATCGGCTTAGGAGAAACTTCCGACCATGATATAATTATGACTGTCTTTCAATTCACTATCAATCTCATATGAAGTATATAATTTGCAAATAAATAACAAGGGTTAGAAGCAAGACTTGATGTTCAGACATCATTGTAACCCATTCTATTTACATTTTTTGGTTTCCATATTCAAAATTATTTCAGACACTTAAGATAATAGAACATTTTTTATATATTATTGTTTCCATGAATGATGTAAAATTGTGGGGCTGTCTTCTCATTGCTTATTTTCTTGGGATGAATATTTTCTCCCGAGCCATATGTTATATGTATACATGAGATACATGCCACTGATATACTTTTGTTTGTGGGTTCGTACCTATAAATCTTTATCAGCTCAGTAAATGATCAGAGTTCGTGTGAGAGGCACTCAGTTCGTGTCACAAATACCACTTTCATCAGGGTGATTCGTTCAAAGTATGTAAGATCACTTACAATACCTTTGTATCTTCCTGGAATGTCAAATGATATGGTTTCTATATGGTTGTGAACTTTTATATTAAAAGCAGATAAATAATTTAAGGGCAATATTTGAAAATTAATGTTACAATACTCCAAGAAGGTTTGGTTTTAAGTTAGCTTATATTGTTACATTATTGACATGTAGGCAAATGAAGTAATACTCCATATTAGGGAAATCATTTTGAGGTGAGTATTCATCAGAGTATATTAGAATATTAGATTTCTTAGGTTTGGTTGCATTATTATTTTAAGATTTTCCACTTTTGACATTAAAATTAGATAAATAAATTTTCTAAGGCAATCTTAAATATGTGGACTAAATCACTGCATTTATTAGTTCACAAAATTACAAAGTCAAACCAGTACGATTTCAAAGAACATATTTGATATCAAACAAAGCAATGATGTCTCTAACCCAAATAGAAAAAATTAAGATACCAGAATGTGAAGAAGAAGTCATAGCAGCAGAATCTTTGAGCTCCTCGATTTTCTCAATCAAATAATTGAAGTGGTGTCCAGTCTCGCTATCAAAAGTAATGCTATTTGTATCGAAACATAACAATGCCTTCTCACATGCCTACAAGTTTGAAAGTCAGGTGAAAAGCAAAGACAAATATCTTAGTCAGATCAAAATAATTTTGTTTGCATAAAGTTAGTAGAGATTTAAAGTGCAGCACTATAAAGTTTACCATTCTAGCAATAGAGCAAAAACCATTCTGAAATGAATGTTCTGCAAAGGCGAACCACTCAACACATGAGACTCGAAGTCTCTGATCACTTGGAGCCTTTCGTTCTCTCATGAGCAATGCCTCATATCTCAAGGCCAAACAACTCTGTTTCATGCAACAAAGCAAATTACTATACAAAATGTTACTAGCTTAGTTCGTAATTACAAATATCTAAGCATTATGGGTCTAAAAATATTAGAAAGACTTGAGGTGAAGGAATTTCACCCATCTGGAGTGTAACCTTCCTCGACATTAAATTGGGAAAATATCATGATTTATAATTATTTATATAATCGTGTATAACATAGATAATTTTTTATGTATGTAATTACTGTAATAATTTTCATGAATGCAATAAGTAATTTACATAAATAATGGATCATTTTGTTTATCATTGCCTTCTTAATCTTCTGGTCTTGCATAAAGTTCGAAGGACTCCTAAACGTGTACTGAAGTCTTTGTCTTGCACATATACAGTACCTTCATGGTGAATACATATCATCAAAATCAATTCCTCATTCTCTTGACTTGGTTTTACATGGTACCAGAGCCCTTAACGATATATTCAACGTTTTCCAATCTCTTAATCTATCTAGCATATCTTAACCCATCTCTTAGCAAATCTGACCACGTCCAAAAACAATATCCCCAATCCCAAAGTTGTGATAGACCATCATACCACTGTCACTATTTGTTACTTAGCATACGACTTATCTTCAGAGTAGATTTATGGAGTCATATGGGGTAGTGTGGCAGCATCCTAGCCACTCGTATTTTTAGTGGGGTCCCCACTAAAAATATGAATGGCTAGGATACTGCCACACTACCACATATGACTCCATAAGGGAGTCATATAGGGCTCTTTAAAATTTTTGCTTATCTTCAAGCATCCATGAGTCCGGAATGGCACAAACCATGGAAGATGATTATAATCCATCATTACGAATCATACATTTGCAGTTCCTCCGAATAATACATACAATATTACCAGTTGTAAATCTGTAATTGGAACTAAGCAAAACCCTGGTGGCTCAGTTTCTCAGTGCGCCTGATCTTGATTTTATTCATTTTACACATACTTTTTTATCCAAGTGACCCCCCAATGTACAGTTCATTCTTAGTCTTGTAGATCATATTCAATAATAATTCCACTCTCTATTGGCTTTACAGCATGAATATATCCCATTATCCCTTCATGGAGGAGCATCAAACAATCATGTAAAAAGTAAACCAATAGCTCCTTGATGAACTTTCCAGCCATCCAAGAATAAGCATCCCTGATAATCCCTCCGCCAAACCATTTTAACATTCGACAAGGAGCCACTTTCCAGCTCTTTCAGCTAAAATACGGGCTACCCAGACACAACTCGAAATCCATTACACAATTATTTAATCTAGGGAAAATGGGCAAAAACACCCCTAAAGTTGTCAACAAAGGGCACCTATGCCCTTAAACTTTTCTTTTGTGCAAAAACCTTTGAGAAAATAGTCAAATAAGACCTTCTACTATTACAGAATCATCACATAAGGTCATGTACTAAATAAAGTGTCATATAAATATGTCTACTTTTAAAAAGCAATCAAATGAGTCCTAACGACCCGTTGACAACCTTCTAATCTCGATTTTAGCTTATGTGTCGTTATTAATTCCTTGTATTTAAGCCAATTTTGGCTACATATTCCACGCCCGTCTTATAATCTATTTTGAAAAGATAGCCACACATACGCTAAAATCGGGATTACGAGGTGGTCAAAAGGTCATTAGAACTCATCCGATTGCTTTTTATAAGTAGACGTATTTATATGACACTTTATTGAGTACATGGTCTTATGTGACGATTTCATAATAGTAGAAGACCTTATTTGACCCTTTTCTCAAAACCTTTGAAATCCCTCAAAGGAGGGCAAGCACCCCCTTGTTTAACGGTGAACTAAATAAAGAGAGTTGACAACCATTAAGTTGTTCCTTTGAATAGCCAACGAAATCTAATTTAATTATATTTGTTAACTAATTTTGTAAATTAGTTGAAATATATAAAAGGGTTTACTCTATTTTACTAAAATAAATGTTATTTACACAAATATGATTAATAATTACTATAATGCAGTGTCATGGTAACTTATGTTTAAAAATTAAACATGAGTTATTATGATTTTATTACTACTCTAGTCATTTGTCACATTTTTGTAAACAATCTTTATTTTAATTATAAATATGTAATTACTTCTTTTTATATAAAATATAAATAAAACAATTAGAAATACCAGTAAACCATAAAAAGCGACTAAGTAATGAAATAACGGTTATGCAAAAAAGTATTAGCAATTAGAAAAGAATTACACTAATTCGATTTTGCCATATCAAATGGGCTCTATTTGCTAATACGGAGTAATTCTTTTCTAATTGCTAATAACTTTTTTGTATAATCATTATTTCATTATTTTGTCTCTTTTTATTGGGTACTTGTATACATAGTTGTTCTATTTATATTTTATATATTTCAACTAATTTACAAATATAGTTAATAAATACAATTAAAGAAATTTCCATTGAAAAGTCAAAGGAGCATTTTTAACCATTGCTCACTCTGTTAAATTGGTACTTCGTAAACAAGGGGTAATTGCCCTCCTTTGAGGGTTTTTAATGTTTTTTGCACACAAAAAAAGTTTAAGGGCTTAGATGCCCTTTGGTGACAACTTCAGGGGCTTTTTTGCCTCTTTTCCCTTTAATCTATGCAAATAATCATTCCACTCTCCAACTTCAATTCAAGTCATCTATACCTCTATTCATCTGAGACAAACAATAATTAGCATAAAATTGTGCGTCTTTCAATACTCCATAAGTAGTCCTGACATAGGCACATAGTTAATTAAGTCAATAGTTCTAAGAATAGGTACAACTAAGGCAGATGTTTTCAACTATAAGGGCTACATTTCAACTTGTAAGGTCTATTCTATACCAACTAAGTTGACAGGAAGAAGAATTTATAAGCAAACTAACCGCAGTTACTTCAGACTTCCCGTCCGAGATGGTGAGAAAAGGAGGCAAAATAAAATAAATAAATGAAACTTTTACCATCTCAAGCCTTGTTTCTTTGCAACATTACACTTTCCAGTACATAAATATAACGTCATGTGCAATGCGAATATATCACTCAATGCTTTCATATAAGGTAGGTTAGTTAATCGCCAATAAATATGTGCATTAAACTATTGACACAAATAATTAAAATAGAAATTGGGAGTTCTAGCAGGGAGATCACATATGAAATTGAAATTTCAAAACGACAACAAACTGATGATATAAAACAAGAGTGATAGCAAATCCTCATACCTCATCATCCCCGATAAGAGCAAAAATGCGGACGAGAAATTCGACAATGTTTAGATTATCATCAACAGATCTGAGAGCGGTAATTTCGCGGAGGACTTGGAGGGATTCGTATCGCATGAAATTCTTTAAAGTGGAGGTTATTTGGAGCAGCAATTTCACATCCTTGCAGACTAAAACTGACTCGAGAATTCGGAGAGTTATGTCATCGAATCTGCACAAATGTGGCACACCTTCGTGAATGAAAATGAAATCCTTCCAAGGAGAGGTACAGAAAGAAGAGCAACTCAATATGAGCATGAACCTTCGGTTTTCTATTAGGGAGCGGAACAGGGAGATTTCCCCGCAGACTTCCTTGGACATTCAGACTTTTGGGAGCCTGAGACAGAAAAATAAATGGAGCATTCAATTTTGAATTTACAAATGTTTATATTTGGGACACGTTAATATCAGGCATATCCCTACCATTTGAAGTTACGATATCCACATTTACATTTATATTAGTGGAGTATCGTTACATTCACATTTGTTCATTCAAATTCAATAAATAATCATAATAGTTGAATAATTGTCATTAACTAATAATAATAGAAGCTTCCAAATGACCCCCTAAATTTGCTAACCCAACAGAGGTAATTCCAATTTCAAACCATGGTTTTTCTTGCAGAATGAAAATAGGACTTAAGCTAAAGTACGCTTTTCAGTTTTTGGTACCAGATTGGCAACTAATAAAATACTCCGTATTACCTACCTATACGCTATGTCCATACCATATAACCATGCACAAAGTATAGGATTATGCATAGTTTATCTTTGAGATTGACCTTTTTTACGTATATATTTACACCAAATTTGATGGTCTTGAAATACACATTGCAGAATCATGAGTTTAGACAATTGCTTCTGCTTAGAAACTCTTGAACAATTTGGTTACTAATGTCCATCAAATCTGTATAAATAATGATGGAGGTTTGTTTTATACTAAAGATTTTTATTAGCTCAAATTATATAGAGTTGATTGAGGTGAAACAATTAATTGGTCCAGAAGACCATGTGCTATTTTTTTTTCTTAGTCAATTTTTTTTTTCCAAAGGGTTTTTCTTGGCCAAAGGTTTTAAGTTATTTTGTGGTTTTTAAAGAATGAGAAAGATTCATAACATCTGAAAGACTATTATCCTCTAGAAGAGTGATTCTAATATTAGTTTAGGAGATAGTAGTCTGAAGGTCTTAATTGGTCCTTGTGAGATCGTACAATTTATTGGTCTGGAAGACCATATACAAGTGTACTCTTTTTCCTTGACCAAGTTTTCTCCCACAGGGTTTTCTTGGTCAAAGGTTTTAATGAGGCAGTTTGTGACTTTGAAATAATATATTATGATACATAAAATTCCGAGTATTATTTTCTCTAGAAGAGTAAATTGAAATGCAATCCAAAAGATTACGCCCCGAAGGCCAGCGACTGTACTCTTTTCCTTTACTAAGTTTTTCCCGCACGGTTTTCTTAGTTAAAGGTTTTTAATGAGGCAGTCAATTCAATACATCGTTTTACATAGATTATGTACTCTTTTCCTTGATTGGTTTTTTCCCCAAAGGGTTTTTCCAACAAGGTTTTTAATGAGACATACACATAGTACAAATATTGCTACAAGAAGATTATAACCAGGATGGATTGAATTCTACAAGAAGACTTGGAGAGAAATCTTGAAGTGACGTAGTCAACAGGGGGAGTATATATGTGTTGCACTCTTTTTCCCTTGACCAAGGTTTTGTCCCATTGGATTTTCCTCGACAAGGTTTTTAATGAGGCGGCATCACCAACACATATAAAGATAATAATGTATATTTTTCTTGTAATGTATTTTATTTAGTAATGTACATCCAAGGGGGAGTGTTATAATATGTGGATGTCCATTCCTCCCCAACTATTAGGCCCCAACCCAAGAGTACGTGTAGCCCAAATCCTTGTCCCCTTGTATATATATATATATATATATATATATATATATATATATATATATATATATATATATATATATATATATATATATATATATATATATATATATATGTGTGTGTGTGTGTGTGTGTGTGTGTGTGTGTGTGTGTGTGTGTGTGTGTGTGTGTGTGTGTGTGTGTGTTATATGTCAATGAAGAGAGATGCTTTTGATCTTGTTCATAACACCTGCCACTTTTCTGTTTTATAATATATATATATAGATAAGTTTAGAAGTACCCTAGTTTGGGAAATAAGTTTGAAAAACACCCCTCCATGGGAAAAAACTCCGTCTAAAAGCTCCCTACCACTTTTCTGTTTTATAATATATATATATATATATATATATATATATATATATATATATATATATATATATATATATATATAGATGCAATGATGCTTATACATCCACCAAAGTGGAGTAGCCTTAACGGGATGTGTGGTAACAAGAAAAGCCTGAAAGCTAATCTCGCCCCTATCAAGGGAGATTCCAAACATCTCTCTTATCTAGAACACAAGTTCATCATTTGGTACAACAACAACATTAACAAAATGCCATAAAAGCCCCACCTATGGTGGGGTAGGGGATTGGATGTACTTGGCCTTACCTCTGTAGTAAAGCACAAAGAGACAATGCTCATCACTTCATGCAACAACAACAACGTTTATTCGGTGTCGTAAAAGCCCCACTACGGTGGAATAGAGGATTGGATGTACTTGGCCTTACCTATGTAGTAAAGCACAAAGAGATAATGTTCATCACTTGGTATATTACCAACTTTGTACATTCAACTATTTGACTTAGTTTTGTTTTATGATTGAGAAATATTTAGAGCCTGTTTACTAACATAGATACTTTCCAGTTTTCTATTTCTGTTTTTCTGTTCTTCGATTTTCTGTTTTCATTTTCCAGCTTTTTTATCTCCAATTTTTTGTTTACATTTTTTAGTTTTCCATTTTCAAATATGAAAACATGTTCATACGATTTTTTCACTCGGTTCTGTGACCGACCAAAAGACCGAAAGTATGGCCCCAGTCCAGAACCGAAGCTAGTACAACTCAAGTAGGGTACTGGGTCCCACGCATAGGAAAGTCGGGACCGAAACTGGCCGATCTCAACCATTAATTTGATGGATTCTATTCCCATTTCCCTATTGGTTGACAACTCAACGAGTCTTTTAAAACACTCAACTTTAAAAATTGATTTCGAAAAACTGAGACTGAACCGTCGGGTCATTGACCGCCCTTGACCGGGACCGTCGGGTCGTTTACGAGATTGGCCCGGGATCGCCTGGTTTTCGATCGGACCGAACACAGACCATCGGGTCATTTACCAGACAGGATGGGGACCGCCGGGTCGTTGATCGGACATGACGAGGACCATTGGGTGGTTGACCGGACAGGACGGGGATCTCTGGGTCATTGACCGGACCAGATGAGGATGGCTGAGTCATTAACTAGGCCGGATCGGACCATGACTTCCCGACCGTCGATCGGACCGAACAAGTATCGCCTGATCGTGGATCGAACCAGACAAGGACCGTTGGGTCATCGATCGGACCAGATAGGGACCATAGGATTGTGGACTGGACCAGATAGGGGCTGCCGGGCGCCGGGTCATGGAACAAACTAGACCGGGCAGAGTTCACCGGATCGTGGACCGAACAGGACTAGGACTATTGGGTCGTCCATCGGACTCGACCGGGATTGCTCAGCTGTCAACCGAACATGGACCATCAGGTCAATGACCGGACCAGACTGCCGGGGTCATTGACCGGACCATATAGGTTCCGTCGGGTTGTTGACAGGACCAGACTGGAACTAACACAGGAGCAGGACCGGATCCAACACTATGCATGTAAATATGCAAATTCATTGCAGCGGCACTGCAGCATCCACGTTTTCCAAATTTAGAAAACTAGTAAAAGTCACATCTCTAATTTATTAAGGAAAACAGAGACATATCTCATTTTTTGGTTTTGGAAAACGATTTGGTTAACACAATTTTCTGTTTTCCTTTCTCCAGTTTTCCAGCAATTTTTTTGGTAAACATGTTTTCTGTTTTCCTTTTTCCAATTTTCCAGTTTTCTGAAAAATTGGAAAATATCTATGTTAGTGAACAGACCCTAGTTGCTCTTTATTTTTCAATTTTTATTGTATTTTTTTCATTTATTTTGCGCCAAGGTGCAATGTGATGAACATTGTGTTAAAATAATTAGATCTAGCTCGACTTTAAGATAAAAACCGAACTGTTTTGAAAAAACGAACTGGACCGATTGATTTTGGGATCTGATAAAAATCAGTTTAAAATTTGTTTATGAACCTAAAATATCAGTTTAAACCGAACCGACAATTTTATATTAATAATGAATATTATTAGTAATAGTAATCATAGTTAATGACATTTATCAAAGTAATAATAGCTAATTACTTATTTAGGACTAAAAATGGACACATGTGCTTAAATAGGACCTAAATATAAAATTAAACGCTTTTCCAATTTTAACCTCAAAAAATGACATTCAGCGTGCCGATGGATGGAAGTTATCGGGAGACGCAAGGCAACATAATAGGGAACAATTATGGCATTTATTGGGAAACATTTTTTTCGAGTGACTGCAGGATTCGAGTACATAATGAAACTACCGCAAATACGGAAGAATGGACCTGATGGAACTTGGAAGTAATTCCACATTCAATTTTTTAGACGGAAACGACGAACAAGGAGGTAGAAGTGGACTGAAGATGGAAAGCGATTAAGCGGGCGCCTGAAACCAAACCTGATATATTTTTTAACTTTGAATGTCAATGAATGTAAGCGAATATGACTAAAGCATGTTAATATAGTGAATAAAAATTGTAATGTTTTGTTGTGAGTATTGTAGAGAAGAAATCAACATTATTTGGAAGGGAAAACACTTAAATTGAATGAATGTAATTACGATGGCAGAAGGTGTTACGTGAATAAGAAATTGAATGAACATATGTTTGGAAGAAAAAGTGGCACTTGATTGGTGTAGAAATCGGGGGAGATAGAACTGTTTAAAATTTTATGTACTTTCCGCCATGCAGTGTGGTTGTATTTTATATACAATGACACATTATTTTGCATTGTTGATGTAATGTATGGGCATAAGGATGTGAAATAATGGGAAAGGGTACTCCAATAGGAGCCTTGACATATATTTATAATAGCAGAGTTGCCAAAATACAAAGTATTTCTAAATATATGTTAGATAGTTTCCTAAATATATGTTAGGCAGATTTCTAAATATATTAGTCTATTACACCCCCACAAAATGTGCGGGAGATACAATGCGCAGATTGTCTTTTAATTTAAAAAATGAAATTGCAAACTAACAAAAAAACTCTTAGTAATTATATCCGCCGACGGAAGGCCGGTTAGGAGGCACATATTTAACAACAAGATCTCCATGAGCAAGTAGGTTGTTTCTAGGACTTC